AAAAAAAAAAAAAAAGTGACTTTTAATTTAGTGTGAAAGTAAATAATTTGCTTAATTTTTTACTTTCGTGGAAACTTTCAGTAACAAAAATGAGTTAATTTAACTAATGTTCACTGTCGTTCAAGCAAAATTTTAAAATAATCATTAAAATTAAATAATGTTACACAGTAGACCAATCCATTCGCTTGACAGTTGTTAAAATGAATGATTCCTTCTAGTTGGTATTCTATTTTACGTCCGCCCGGACCTTTTTACAGTTTATCAGTGATATAAAATAAGTTTAATAATTTTTCGAAAAATCGTTAACGTCAAATAATGTTACACAATAGATCACTCCATTAGCTTGTTAGTTTAACGTTAAAAGAAGCGATTTGGGATTATTTGGTCAATTATATTTTTTTCGATTAAAATTTGTAATATGTAATTTCATGTCATGGATACAATGATGCAAGTCAATGTCAAATCCGAAGTGGATCTCTATGAGAGCGTGTCAAGTGTGTATTTGATACATTAAATGTGGTCAAAAACTACCACATTAATGCATCAAATAACTACATGTCATGTGTGTGCCACATAGGGCGACTGCTGCAGTGAGCGACTGCAAGTAGCATTACTCTTTACAATGACAAAGTTGTTATCTTTGATCANACATGACATGTGTGTGCCACATAGAACGACTGTTGCAGTGAGCGACTGCATGTAGCATTACTCTAACAAATTAGAAGGGTAATTTTGAGATCTCATGACAAAAGAAAATGCTCCTGAATTGCTTTACAATTTCTCTGTCTACTCTTTCAAATCTAAGGAGAGGTCTGCTATTAGTAGTTAATGTATAAAAAGAAGTAAACTAAGGATTATTAAAAATAGAATGAACCGCGTCATTAGCGGCCTCCACCTGCCCTACCCTGAGTTTTGGTGAAGGAGGTAAATCGCAGGTTATGCCTCCAAGGGTATAGGGTGGAAGACTGCTTGTACACTTGCATTTACCCAAGAGCCAAATCTATATTTCAGGATTCGAACCCTTGACGCGGCTACCTTAAACAAAATTGGAGTTCTTCCACCTTCCCCTTTTACCACTTGGAGATGTGCCCTGGGGCAGTAAATTGAGGATTATTGCAATTATATAATATGGGTATATATGTAATTTTATTTTTTAAAACATATTTCAGGATCGTTGGATAATGAACTCCTAAACATGAGCAGTGTTTTAAGAATTGCTACTAAAAACCATCCAAAATCAATCCGCTCATAAACGTCTAAAATCGATACTTCAAAAAATGCTCATAAACACTACCTCGAAACTCCCAAGCAAGAACGATTAATTATGTAATATTATTAAGTCCCTATCCTCCTTTCTTAAAGTTCATTATTTCGTAAATTTATTTTCAAACACACATTTTGCTCATGTTTGGAGTTTTGATGAAAAACAGTAAAATATATGATTGAAAAATTATGGATCTGATTAAATTTGCTATTAAAACTAATTGTCGACTTTGAATTAAAATTTTTATTAAATTTTAATTTTGACCCAATAAATTTTTTATGAAATTCACTATTTTTACTAAAAAATTTTGAAAAAAAAATCTAATTTTTTCGTCAAAAATAGCGGCGAAAAGCACGCGCTTTCCTGATATTTTTGGTCAAATTTATTTCTTTATTATTATTATTTTTTTTGATATCCAGGTATCCTAACTTACACTAGACTATGTTCTGGACCACCCATCCCAGGCCCCTCAGAGATGGGTGAAGATTAACCGCGGGACATGCCCACGTTGACCAGGTCCGCGAAATTTATTTCTTTATTGTTTACGTTGGAATAGTGTTGAGTACCGACACTCCCTCAGATATAATGATTTCAATTAACGACCCAAATAGTATTCTACCACTTGGCGTAGACTTGACTTCTGCCGTTTTTTCAACTTCGAATTCCTCTCCCTCTCTTCTTCTCCAAATTCAAGCTTCAGATGTAATACTGCAAGGTGTGCCTAATTTTTATTTGTATTGTATTTTAAGTTAGTCTCGCTTCTAGCATCTTTACGAGTTCGAATCACTAATTTTGTTTCAGTTTCTGCTTGATCTGTTGTGTAATGCATTTAGATCTGTGTAGTATGCGTGTGTTACAGTAGTTGAATCGTAGTGAAATGGAGGCTTAAATTTTGAAAGGAGAAAATTCTTTGCTCTGAGTGAGAAATTCTGGTTAGTCACTGCTTGATGAGTTGGAAAAATTGAATTTTTGAGATGATTTGATCTGATTAAGTGAAATTAGGTACTTCAGGATGCAATCTGAATTCTGTTTTTACTCAATTTTTCATAAAACAGGGAAGTCTCACCGACGAACAAGTAAGAAGATTTTGCTTCAAATAAAAAATATTTCATTTCATTTATTATGGATAGTTACTGCATTTATTTAGTAGAGTGAGCAGGTCTAGTTAATCCAACAGTTTGCCTGTCATACTGGTTTTAATAAAAATAAAATAAATGTTTGAAGAAGGCTATTTTGATGAAAAATGAAGAAGCTATTTTCCATCTTGACTTTTACCAAAATTCTTCTAAGAAAAACCTCCCCCATTTACCCATATAACATGTAGTTTGGTTTGGGCTGTGTAAAAGATGTCATTATATGCGCAAACAGGCACATTTTTAGTAATTTTTCATGACTATCTAATAGCCTCATCCATTGGAGTATAGTAGAATGAAGTTGTACAATGATTCTGCTTTGACCTTTTAGAGAAAATGAAATTGCCTTTTTTTGGCAATTCAGAAATTGATGTTTAATGAAGCTTATGAGATTCCAATAGGACGAAAAAAGAAATAGTAATGAAGAATCATGTTTATTGGTGTTTCCATGTTTACTTTCACCGTTTTCTTACATTCTTTTCCTGTTTCTTTTTGGTTTGTTTGTCGCAATTTGGAATGAAAAAGAACTCAATTTTAACCTACTAATATAGTTCCAAGTGTAAGCCTTATTTCCAAACAAAAGAGTAACACCCAACTACATAATATGTATGGCACCATGATGCAATGAGTTCTAACGGCAATGTATAAACCAAGTCAATTGCGCAGCAAAATCTTGTTCCGTTTAATTACTTGAATTTAGTTCTGTGATATGAAATGCAGCAATGAGTTTTCGAATCAATGAAAATTGATAAGATTGACTTGTAGACAAACAATAAGGATAAAAACCAGATTACTATTGTATTCAGAATCAAAGTTTAACTTGGTATATCAGCGATCGAATATTTTGGCTTCAGAATCAGTGATGCCATTTACCATGAAATGTCCCAAGACAGAAATAGATTCCAAATTCTCTCGAAAGAACAAGTGTTATAATAGTAGCAATATTCTTTTCCGAACCAATAAATCTGAAGTTGGCCTGCATGGATAGCCAGAGGATCTAGATTACAGAACTCAACTACATATGCTACAGCAAAAAATGCAGGGTGGCAATTGCAAGACTTATCACTTCTTTTTTGACAAACCAAGTAGTTTTTTCAACTTCAGAAGACATTTCATTGTATTTTCATATTTCCTTACTTTATTCATTTGCCGGTGCAGACACCATTACATACAGATGAGCCCTGGTTTTTCCAAGTTCACCTTCATGATAGCTGGGTCTGCGTGTGTTGATGCACACCAGTAATGAACAGAAATGAAGAAACGGTATGGCCATGTTCTAGCCACATCATTCTTAACGTTATTAGTTCTTGGGTATTTCGCAATTAAAAATCCCATCAAGGAAAGTTACATCACAAGTCCATATTTCAACACAACAAACCCTCTTGAATGGATAAATCAGGGTGCTCCACCTGCACTTCTCAATCCAGAAAATGTTTCCCAAGTGATTTCTACCAAAGCTGTAGTCTCCGATCTCTTTGCTCAAAGGAACTTGTCGAATGAAGAACAACAATCGTTGCACACATGGAACCATCTGAAACAATTGATTACACATGCTAAGATGTTACCCAATGCTCTCGAAGCCATTAAGGAAGCTCGTGTTGCATGGAACAATCTTATGACCTCTTTCAAAGAAGAAAAACTTCATGTTAATGGAAGTGCACTGAAGAGAGGAAAAGAGAAACAATGTCCTCATTTTCTTAGTAAAATGAATGCCTCTAAACTTGATGATAATGGCTTTGAGCTGCGGCTTCCTTGTGGTTTGACTCAAGGTTCTTCAATTACATTTATTGGCATTCCAAATGGTCTTCTTGGTAATTTTCAGATTGACTTGACTGGTGAACCACTTCCAGATGAACCCCACCCTCCTATCATTTTGCACTATAATGTCAGACTCCATGGTGATAAAATAACCGAGGATCCTGTAATTGTTCAAAACTCCTGGACAGGTGCACATGACTGGGGCGAAGAGGAGAGATGTCCATCCCCTGATCCTGAAAAAAACAAGAAAGGTACATGCCTTTCACTTTTTCCTGTCCTTGACAAATTTGGATAGAATAGGATTGTCTTTTTTGCTTCAGTGAGATTTATGTTTATATTTTGTTGTATGTGATGGATGATGCTATTTCCTCTTATGTCAGTGGATGAGCTGGATCAGTGTAATGAGATAGTGGGTAAAGATGATAACCGAACTATCAAAGCTAGCCGACAGTCCAAGGGAGCAACAAAGTTTTCTATGATTCAGGATGGGAAACCAAGAAAGTACTTTCCTTTCAAGCAAAATTATCTGTCTGTTGCTACAATCAAAGTGGGATCAGAGGGAATACAGATGACTTTTGATGGAAAGCACATAACTTCATTCGCTTTTCGTGAAGTATTGTCTATCTCGTTCTCTCTCTCTTTAATACTTGTCCAGATTTATTTCCCAATATAAGTTAATTAATGTTACGTCCCTTATATGGGCTGTGCATGCAGACTTTGGAGCCATGGCTTGTTAGTGAATTAAGTATTTCAGGAGATATGAATTTAGTTTCCATTGTCGCTAGTCAACATGTAGCATAAAAACCAGATGGTGAATGAGGAGCTATGGAACGAAGCATGGACATACGGAGACATCCAGCTGACGCCTTTTGTTGACTACTACAACCTTATTACACGGAAAACCACAGCCATCTGCATCTTTGGGGTAATGTCCTGTTCTGTTCATAACTCATGGAGTACTCCTCCCATGTAGCTGATTACCATCATCTTTTCAATAGATGCAGGTCATTTCCGCAAAATTTGTCATGAAAACAGATGATGATGCATTTGTTCGTGTTGACGAAGTCTTGCTTTCTTTACGAAGGATCAATACAACCTGTGGTTTGCTCTATGGTCTTATCAATTCAGACTCCCACCCCCATCGAGATCCTGATAGCAAGTGGTATATTAGTCTTGAGGTAATACGTCACTTCATTTTGTCATTTCATCAATCATGATTATATAGTTATTTTGAGCCACCACGTGAAATTGATGAAGTATCTATAATATAATTATTATCTCATTTTAGCTTTTCTGGGACTTTCACATTATATGCTGGGAAATCAAATAGATGGGTTACTTGGGGTCTCTATGGAGTTAAGAAATTTTCAGTGTTTGAAACAATTAAGTCAGTAAAGAGAGGAACTAGACTGACCTGAATTATTTTGGGCTCCTAGTGTTGTTTCCTGGACGCGCTATAGATTTGGAGAGGGAAGATAAGAAATAGAAATGATTTGCATGGTTACAAGTTGTAAACGCACTACAAATTCATAACAATAGTGTGTTTCAACGCACGTGATCAATCTAACGACCTGTTTGTCGAAATCATTTTAAGGAATGGCCTGAAGATAGTTACCCTCATTGGGAGCATGGTCCGGGTTATGTTGTGTCAAGTGAGATAGCAAAAGCAATTTACAAGAAGCAGAGAGAAGGACGCCCAAAGGTAGAATGGGGATTTGCATATATTCTCTCTATTACTGTTATTTTTATTATGTTAATTCAATGGATCATTATTGCATTTTCAACTCATTATGGTAGATGTTCAAGCTAGAGAGTTGCTGTGGGAACCTGGATTGCAGATATGAAGAGAGGCTTAAATGTCAGGTACAATGACGGTTGCAAGGACAATTATGTTGTTGCTCACTACCAAGGTCCCCGAGAGATGCTCTGTCTGTAGCAGAAAATTCAAGAGAAACAGAGTTCTGAATGTTGCGGTAATTAACACTATATTACAAAGATGCCGAATGTCAAACCAAGAAAAATGGAGGTCTAGTAATTCCACGCTTGTAGAAGAATTCACTGGGTTATGTAAGTAGGAGATTACCTAGTAACATGCATATTGGCAGTAAAGTTTCTAGGAATTGTCATGATGCTGTCCATTTTGGATTGCTACGAGGGATTTTAATTATATGTATGTATGAAATGAGAAGAGGAAAGTGCCTAGGATAGAGCCATTAATTTGACCTTGTTGAACAATAGCCATGGTTTATTACATTCTATTTCTGAGGCAGACAGAGAAATTGTTCCGACATTGCTATTAATATATGAATTATCATAGCTAAATTCACGTGATAGCTGATTGAGGAAGAAGCTGCAAGAAATGAACATACCAAGATCATGAAAATTGACCATGCAAAATTGAGTCAAGTACAGAACTAAAGATTTTACTTTTTGTGTATTTGTAGTACCATGCAACCATTCAAGTGCACATTTAAAATAAATTTTCTTCGAATCAAGTTCACACTTATCGTGGCAAGAATCCATGACGACTAATGGCAATTTCAAAAGCCTCCATTCGTTCTCCACAAGCAAAACCATTGCGATCATAACAAGAAATTTCATTAATGTTGAGATCTATGCAAGTCTTGACAAGCTCTTCACCTACACGCTCAGCTGCTTCCTAAGATTGAGATTATTTATAACCATAATCAGATTATAAGTTCAGAGTAATAAGAAGCACATGAACAAGAATGTTAATCTCGATCCAAAACAGAATACTTACAACAGTAGTGCAAGTCGGGTCCTCTCGAATTGATTTCTGCAGAGTGCTTCCATAAAACAAGCACTTCTTATTTTGATCATCTACCAGCATAGCATAAAACTGTTTATCTGAACAAAACACCGAAAGCCTCGGTTTTGTAGGTGTCCCATTAAACTGGTGAAGATCATGGACACTGATATGTTAATACAGATTGATGTATACATCTCTAAATCATCGAAAAAATGACTGTCGATACACTTTTTTCAAGCATCAGAAAAGAAATTTTCTTGCAATGACAAAAGGTGTTACCTTCTTCCTCAATCTTCTGTTTCGAATTTTTGCACTCTCTGGCCTGGTATTAGCTTTTGCCTCAATCATCAATGGTTTCATAATTAAATCTAGACATAGCATACAGCTTTCATCAGCCAAAATTAAACACGTATTGAAGTGCCTTATCTGAAACTAAAAGGTGTTAATTTCGCACTCGTTCCTTCATATGACCGCTGAATTTATTTCATGTCTTATAAGTGCAATATTTTTATAAAGGAGAGGAAGGGAACTTGAAATTGATTCTTTCGTTAGCTTTGATACTACGTTGAACCATCGCGTATAAAAGTTTGAGGTGTTCAAGCCGGGTGTTCTATTATCAAACTCCATGGTGTACATTGGCACTAAACCCAGACTTGAAAGAAAATACTCCCTCTGTCCCAATTATATAAGCTTGTTTAGTTTTTCACACGGATTAAGAAAGTTTATTTAATATCATTGGAAAATTA